TGTACAATGTGTGTACGCAGATAGAGTTATGATATGAGGTCGTTTTAGCCCATCGTACGAAAGCTTTTCTTGTCAGGATAGAGTCAAACAAAAAAATTCTATCAACGAATAAGTATCTGAGTTTTATAAGTCAGTACCACGATCTAAAAAGTGGAAGATCTTATAAAGTTCAGGAACCACCTTAAATAAAATTATTTTTTACTTAGAAGATTTTAGAAATTGAGGAGTATGTTTGCAATTTATGAAATGGTTTCTGAAGTTTGTACAAAGCCTTTCTTAACCAGAATACACAAAAAGGTCAAGAAAAGCCTACTATATTTTGATTACCTATTTATTATAATCAAGATATTCGATCCACTACAAATATGAATATTAAAGATTCCCATTGTGAAAATTAGAACAACACATATAAGCGAACAATATTGTTTTCAACCAGATTGTCATCCGGCTTTGCTCTAATATACATGAATATTTATACGAAAATGTAAACCAGTCAATGCAGTGTGGGTCAATAATCACAATGAAATAGAATAAGTCTCTACACATAATAGGTAAACATACATGTTGATAGTAGGAAGACAGGTGTACTGATAGTAGTAAGAATAATAAAATACGATAACAGAAGTCTTATCAATAGTTAGACGTTGGAAATAGAAGATTAAACGTGGGTAAATAGACTCGTATAAATATTCATGTATATTAGAGTAAAGCCTGATGACGATCTAATTGAAAACAATATTGTTCGCTTATATGTGTTATTCAAATACGAATATGTCCGCTTCACTGAATATTGTCCGTATCCTGATTTCCATCATTGATTATACACACAGATAATCAATAACTTCATTCGCATACTGATTTACACAGAAAATACACATTGATATATAAACATATATGTACATCTATACGTTCTCCCAAAGCAAAGAATATTCTGTCTTCTGAATATTCACAAATGAATTCGTGGCAATATTAAGACAATTAGCCCATTAAGAAATATGTGGTTAATGGTTCATCGTATTTCGGAGTGAAAATTGACGAAGTAACCAATTCAAGTTCTTCTATGTATATAATTCTTTACCGACCTCCGGTTTTTAAAGTAATTAATACTACTATTTTAGATTGTAAGTAGCTAAATGAGTCCTCGGAACAAGTGAACCAATGTTACTTTGTTATGACATATTCGTGGTATATAGAATAGGTCGAAGTTTGCTAGCGTTGGAATGCAGGATAAGGTTTTGATCCTATCTAAAACTCATCAACTGAATGTTTCTGTGAAGTGGATAATGGGTTAGCGTTCGAAACTGAACGGAGTGGGTCTGATTTCCGAAATGAACCCTAACTCTAAGGTTCAGGGACATTAAGCCGATGAGTCCATAATTGGATGAAACACGCGTCCTTTATACCACTGCCAGCTATAATCCACCTGTTCCATATGAACCTTGTTAATAATGGCTTTATCAAGGCAATCTGCACTCCATTCATATATTACAACTAAGACTGATCACATTTCACTCAAATTATCAGGAACGGGATGATCCTAGCTATTACAAATTAAACTAATGTTTTCATTGTGTTAAAAGTTGTAAGATATTCAAAATACTTAGTTGAGTTCTTCCAATTATTTTAAGGTCTATCTGCCGGCAAAACTTTGAACTAGAAGCCTATATTCTTAATTCACAAGTTATGTGCACCAGGGCACGAAAGGTTTTCAACCGTTACTCACTCTCTCGTAATACAACTGTTAGTGTTTAGTACAAATGATAGATATACAGCTTACTTTACATTTCATTAAGTAACTGAACTACTCTAAACTAGACAAATACTTTATAAGCAAAGATAGATAAGGGCTAGCAGTTGGATCCAAGACATGCATCTCGGAGTTAATGTTCACTCTTGGACTACAACTCAGTACCGTTCGCTCCAAACAGAATCGCGTTATCCAGATGACAAATCTCAAGTAGGATGAAACGCGTGTCAAACTAGATTCCACTGTTAACCACTATCCAACTTTGCCCACAATGCTTGTGACTTGAGGCATTATCGAGGCAATACTCACAGTATGTACATATACTAATAACAGACTGACCAATTGCATTCCTAAAAACATCGATGGGAAGATTCAAGTAAACAATACTAAGTAAACTTAGATTTATGCTTGTTTGGACAGGTTTTCACAGCACATCAACTAGATAGTCTAGTTTTTGTTGTCAAATAATCTTACCAGCCAAAATACTACATTATTATTTTAAATATATTTAGTTTTAATTAGTTTTTTTATTATATGACATATGTATTATTATTTTTATTAGTATAATCCTGATTTGTAGATAGGTGAGTTTCGCAAACTTTTCTAGCCTGTGTAAGTTATTTATACAGAGAACAAGTTACATCTACAGGTTAAAACATGGTTAAAATAGCAAAATTTAACAACTATTGTAGCACGTTGTATTAGTGTTCATTCGGAAGCAGGAGCGATCTGAAACAACAACACAACAGTCAGAACTGGTAACTGCCTCTGAAGTGAGAACTTGGCGTACTGGCACAACAGAGATATATTTTAAAATTGAAGGACGCGGTCATATTACAAAAATGGAAAACCTATCACAAAATAGTTTTTTCTATCGTTCTGCAGGTTCAGCTTCCGTAGAGCTTGTTCCTCTTCTTCCAGTGCGTTTACTCTTTGTTGTCCTGCAATAAGAAAAACAGAATCGTGTTAGTAACATCACATATAAAGATTTTTGCTACTGTTACACTATATCAACTAGTCAGTGGGTATGAACATATAAACGTATGCTAATGGATGTTAAAAATCATCGGTGACCATATTACACTTTAATTTCTTTTACATTAGTGTTTGAATGTGTATTAGTAAATATTAGGTCAATTATCTGACTGAGTGTATTTAATTTATAGACCAGATCGTATTGCACATTTATATTCATTTCTTACATAAACGCAATTGTGATGTAATATATACATTAGTCCAGTAATTCTATGAGGTAGTTATTATTAGTTACTATGTCTGGATTTCAAATATGATGAAAAATGGGCACTAATATCATGTTCACATGTAAAGATTGATTAATTAACAACCGTTGCTATTTTAAGCCTTAAACAATACTTTAATCTGAAATAATATCTCCTTGTCGCTCATTATACGTTGATGTAGTCTTTTACGCTTGTCAACATCATAATTTAAATATTTCGTGAATTTTCCTAACCTTAATTCTTAACCGCAAACTTCATGAGTTCTTAGATGGTGGTTGGAGGTAGTCAACAGGAAACCCTAGACCCGGGTTTCTTGCTATTTGGCACTCGTCAGCAAATTGTACCTGTACAATTAATTGATCACTGGTGGTAGCACAAAACCTGGGTCCAGGGTTTCCTGTTGACTACCTCCAACCACTATCTTATCTCAACATAGTGCACGCAGTGTCGAGTCACCTAGACTAGTGGCCACATTGCAACTTGGTCGGTAGCGTTCGATCTGAACTAAATAAGGAATTGACACACATGACATTGATCACTGGATAGTGATAAATCAATTATGATTTCATCAGTTCTTAAAGAAAAGTTTATGTACATTTTTGTTGACATCTTTTCCATCAGTATCAACAACATTCTAAATGGCTAAGAACTCTATAAAAATTTGGTTAAGGTCACTTTTCAAGTCATTCAAGGAAATCTATACACTATAGTTCCACTTATCGATTAATAAAAACAAATACAGTTAGAGTAAAATTATGTCACTCTAGTAAATAAAGTTCATTATTTATATGATACCATATTATTTAGAAGATCCATGATAGGTCTACCTATCTAAACTATTGATAATCTCAGTGTTATTTCTGAAATATTGACCCTTTAATTCTTTAAATAATCATTGTGGTGTGTGCTACTGATGTCGACATATATAAGTAGTATGTATCATCAATCGAAAGTGAAATACCTGGTAGTAGAACGTTAAGATTATCGAAGAAAAGTGAACGAGAACAGATAATGATTAGTGTGGAAGCGAATGAACAATGAAGTTTAAGACCATTGACTGATATTTTGCAAATGAAGTATTTACTGTTTGGTTCTAAGATGCTGTAATTTTTATGTTCATATACATTCGATTGTCTTCACTTGTATTCTCGATCACTACATTTTCAGTGTCTTACATAGTTAAAATCGAATAAACATTCAAATGTTTATTGATAGAAATGAAATTAGATGACCCATTTGAAAACTCATAGCTGAAATATTAGCTTTCTATTGAAATGAAATCGTCATAAGCACAGCGATATTCTTCCATGGTATATAATAAAAACACAAAAAGCTTCGTTAAAAGACACTTAGAACATCAGAACAATATACGTTAGTACGTCATACAGTTGGAAAAGAGGATCATACTGAATGTTTTGGCCATGTTTAACTAATGTTTGATGACAAATATGGAATACAACGAGATAACACATTTAAATTAAATTAAATAATATATTTGTTATACCCAAATGAGTAGAAAAATTAAATGTTCCGACGTTTCGTCACTCATGTAACCCATTTCGTCAGAGAATAAACAACCGAATCAAATAAATCCAAGTTTAAGTAGTACACATTTGTCCTAAAGCATAAAATGTTTCTTCTTTAAGGCAAGGTGACAGAACCAAATTAGCTATTATATTAGTACAAACTAATCCTATTTTTATTATATATATCACAATTAAGTTGTATTTGCTTTTAGGATAACATTTGTTAGCACACAATTCATCTTAAATCACCTGCCAATCTGACTCAGTACTAGCACACTCACTTTATCAAGTTCATGTTAGATTTTTTTTCAACTTATTACAAGTTTATCATTGATGATCATTGTTCTGAAATCAAGCCAAAACATGATTATATTCATATAATTTAACCATTACTATAAAGACATGTCTTACTCTATTAAACATGTATATATAAATTAGGATTTTATCATTAAATGTTAGTAAATCTATACTGCAATATATATTGTAATGAATAGATATATTCAATATATTATTCTATGGCTTATAAGCATAACCTTTACCTTAGTTATATCCAATGAAAGTGGTATGTTCAATATTATATCCATATAGATATATTTGTATTATTTATATATAACTACATGTAACGAAATTTACTAGAGTGATAGAGTAATCATTATTTAGGTATAGTTTTCATCAGTTCAACAGTGGTACTGTAGTGAACAAGAACACCAGTGGGGAACAATCGACATAAGTAGCACACACCACAGCAATATTAAAAATTGAGTATTTGTAGTTAAACTAAACGAGACATTAAAGAGGAATAGTTGTATTTGTAAAACCTCAGCGAATGAATTTGAAGTAAATCGAAATTATTCGATAATTTTGTTGTTTGATTAGATTTTCCTTGAAAAAGCTTGGACGAAACGTTGGATTTACTTCAAATTCTTTCGCTGAGATTTTACAAATACTGTTCTTCCTCTTTAATGTCTCACATTAACTCGGCGCCCAAATATTGTGAAACTATTCGTTCAAATTTAGACGAAAGTTTTTATTTAAGCTAAATGGGTATGAAATATATTACATAACAACATGCAACTTCCAGCTAGTTTATTAAGTTCGTCATGTTACTAAACAAATCCTCTACTAATCAGTAGATTCTGAGATGTGTTAAGTCTTATTTTAAAATGTCAACAATACTGAACAAAAACTGCGAAATGTAGTTTGTGCAACAATATGTATATTATAATGGGGTCCTTCACTTCGATGTCAATTAGGTCAGACGATGTTTTCGACGGGCTTACCACTTTCGTGGCCCGATGTCAGACTCTACTTATATTGTATGAATGTTATTAAAATATACATTTCATCAATCCTCGTGTATGGTTATCGAATTAGTTAGTGTCAGTGAATATAACGGAATTAAGTAAACCGAATATGAGAATGGATTTCGAATATGTATATTTTGTACAATCTTTGGTCTGTACAGATAATCAGGGGGATAAAGCGAAAGAAGTGAAGAGAAGAGAATGAAGTCAAATGACGCTCAGTGGAGAAGGCGAGTGAGCCAACTCAATTAATTCATTCTTTAATCAATATTTATAGTCACACAAAAATAAGCTACAGACATGTGATGAATAGGATAAGAAGTGTACACACATACGCTCATATAGAAGCAGTCAAGGTTGATAAGTGAATAATTAACAAGGTCAAAATGTGACTCAAGAAGAATGAGTAAACTGGCCTGTCGAGAAGCTAGAATAAGTTATGTGGGTTTAGCATAGTAACCTACACTACAATATGTGTTGAAATTTTTGTTCAGAATTACATTGTTTTAAATATTTTTGTTTGAATGCTAGTACCAGCTGTACAAAAGAACTGTGCACACCTTAATGATTCTTGCAGTCGGGTTTTCTTTCGTCACTGTTGTGACAAATTAGTTTGTCATGGGTTCTTCAATGGAATATGTGTTCAATGTCTTGGTACAAATAAATTATGTATTTGGAGCTCAGACTGTTGTAGTGGAAGCTGTTGGTTTTTCCACTGTCAAGAAAAATATAGTAATGTTAGTACAGATATTGTGAATACTACAGAAACCCAACAAAATGAGACCACTTTATAAATACGTACTCTGTAAAAATATTTACATCTAAAATTGTTAAACAGAACAAATACAAGATTGTTTGCAAAGATACTTGATTTTTCGTATGTTGATAAATCTGAATTTACATGACTTTGCCTGAGAATTTATAATTATCTGGACATTTTGTAAAACCATCTATTGTTACGCATCACATCAGTTGCATTGAAGAAAACTTCAAAGATAAATGGTGATAACTTGTAAATAAATTAGATATTGCAGATATGGATTTGGACAGTTTTATCCAGTTATCGCCTGTGGTGAAAGTAGTATTCAGAATCTAAATATAAACTAGCAATCGTCTCAGTGCTCAAATCATCAAAAACTGAGATCTCACAATGAATAAAACTTTTTTATGACTAATAATTATCAGAGCAAGAAGAGATTCACACTACTGTCCTCCGTTTATACGGGATTAATTTGGATACAGAAATTCTTCATTCGTTCTTTATCATTTATCCCGAGGGACTTGGAGTTCCCTGTTTCGTGACTACTATTGGTTAAGTGCTGTCGACTCCATTTTTTTATTATTCTTATGTAGTTCTGAAGCATAATCCAAAGAACTTACACATAAAACCTAGTAATGGTGTCAACATGATGTTGGAGGTTTCTTCTCAGAATTGTTGTATTTCTATGGTCAACTGTTTCTCAAACTCTTCTTCTTTAAAGTAAAAGGGAATTTAGTTAATTTTATTCTAAAAGTTTTGTTACCATTATACGTTGGAGGACGTCGTCCGACGTTCCTGAGTAGATCAATATAAATATCCTGTTTGGTTGGAAGTCATTCACAACATCTGGTATCATCATTTCTCTATTATATAATATTACAAAGATTAGTTAGCTGATAGGTTTTGTTTTACACCTATCTCATGAACATCCTTTATAGAATGGTCATACCCTTTACTTACATCCATATATAGCTATATAGTTCCTACATTACTCGACATATATCTCCTGTACACAATTGTTTTGTCAAATTTGTTTCTGTAGGTAGATAATGTTATTCGGTAACATAATTTACAGTTCATATATTTTATCATTTCATGTTATTTTGTCAAATCATATCGTACAATATAAAACTGTTTAACATCCCTCAATCTTCCTGGTTGATTATAGTCTCCGTTTGTACCGGTGATATTATATTATAATTCAGAACGATACAAAATCTATTCATTTGAACTAGGATGACTCGTTAAAGTGTTAACTTTAATTACATTATCTCATTATTACCAGATGCGGTTGTCCAGCTGGTAATTGGTACATGAAAGAAGTCAGACTTACAAGAAACGTGTTGTTCTCAAAAACAAGAATTAACTTCCTTGTTTCATTAACAAGATACAAAACAGATATAAGGGGACGCTCAACTATGATACAGTATTCGGTCTTAGTTAAAAGGACACTTGAATAATTAGCTTATAATTTAGGTACGTAGCAGATTTCTTTATCAGTTGTAACTTAAACGATACGACAAAAGGCTGTTTACATTAACTCTATGTGATTAAGAAATTGACATGTAAACGATGACAGGATGTACCATTTATAGAAGCGGATGAGAGTCGCAGCAGCATTATAAGCTGTGTAGTCATTTTAAATTATGGAAAATAATAAGCTGTGGAAAATGTTAACTATGCTTTATGCACACATTCAGGCTTTAAAGATGCGTTAGCAATCTCCGCGTTGTTTTCAAAATAAATGTATTGAGACAATAATATGCTAGTATCACCGGAAATTCGATAGTCAAGAGACAATCTGCTTATAAGTGAATTTATGAAGAACTGAAATCAGGGAAAAGATCTAGGGGGTAGAAATTAACAGTGAACACAAATTCACAAGGTTTAGGCAATTAAGGAATTATGTGAAACCAGACTTTAAGTTAAGTCCTAGATACGCATATAATAAATTGTTTTCAGAACTACTGAAACAGAGATTTATTCATCTTATAAGTTGGTAGTAACCACTGTTTTCGGAATCACAATTCACAGAAGATTCAGACAATAACTAGACAAACTTCTTGAATAACATATTATTCAATCATGTGACCGCCATCATACAGTTAATTTGCATAATTCAGAGCCTAGTTATTCAAAAGTTTTATTTATAAATTAATATATCCCATCTGATTATTTTGTATATCTCTTTTGATCACAATGAAGTTTGCTATTGATTTATACCATATTAGAAGGGAAGCACTGATTGTTCTATTAGAACAACGAACCATGGCATTGAGGATGTGTCCACTAGCCACTGATGTATATCAAAGTCATTCGGTTCTAAGATACTGTCTGTATGTAGCTTTTTTAATACTATCAGAAAAATCATAACTGATATATCCGAAGTAGCAATGGTAATTACTTATTATTGGCAAATATGGCAAGCCATATCGTTCTTTTAAAATTGATTGAATTCATCATAATTATTACTCCCTTATGATTAGTTACATATATATCTGACAAATGTTTTATCATTTTGTGGATAAAATGCCGTTTACTTCACAAGCAGAACACAAACTCCTGAGGAGACGTATTAACATATTCATGACAAATAATCATCGAAAGTGATAAGAAACTTCAGAAACAAATTATTTTCAGGGAGCGTTTACATTTCTGGAGATTATATAAATAATGACAGGTTCACTTCCATTATGAATCGAGATTGAAAGAAAGGAGGAAAATTTGCCTTCAGTGTTAAAATGATACATGTTCTCTACATCGGTTATATTCCGGTAAGACGATGTTTTATTTGACCGCATGTAATTCAATGTAGTAAGATCACTACTATCCACTCATAAATTCATGAGTTTCCCAAAGTGTATTGATCACTTGACTCGAAGTCATTTTCTGTTCTACTCAGAATTCTAGTCATTAGGAAGTTTACTAAGTACCAGTGTGTAATTTTGTACATTCAACCATCGTTACCATTATTAACTTGAAATAATTAAACTACTCCATAATACTAAGTAGCTGACCAGGAAATAAAGAATAGGAAGGAAGATCAACAAAGACTACATGATTCTTAAATGAAACGAGATCAACTATTGAAACACAACTGTATGAAAATGTGATCTTTCGTGAATTCTCTTTATCAACTTTAACCTTTTTTCATCGATACATCTCAATTCTCAAAGAGGCAATGAATGGAGTCAGGAAATATAATTATATAGAACCTTGTAGCAAGCTCTTTTATGGTGGCGGAGACCATATGTTCCTTTCGTTCACACTGTTGCATCTTCAGTACCAGATATTTATATTCTTCTCCATCCTATATAAGAACGTCTCAAATGCAAAAGTACTCAGAGAACAACTTTAAGTTTAGTTAACCATTTTACTGGTTAGTTTTTCTAGCGAGTTAGTTTTCTACGGGATTGGGTCACTGATCTCATGCCCAACCCTCCTCCTTTATCCGGGCTCGGGACCGGACCATTTTACTATAAATATCAAACGACAGTGGCCAATATGCTTCTTACGTTTTCTTCACGGTTATATACTTATCTAGTACATTGGGCTTGAAAGTTTTTTGCTAATCATTTAATGACAGCACCCACCACCATGCTAAATTGATGACTATTATTTTTAACAGTTATAAAATGCCGACATTCGGCGTAGCAACAATGGTGAGCTATACGGAAGCACTAACGATGGAACCAAATAGTATATTGCATCTGGTAAAGTCTTCAGTAGGCTATAGCGATAACGCATTATCAATGATCACTGCAATCAGATATTATTGATGGACCATGGGTAAATTCCAATGGTGACGAACGTACATTGCGCTACAGTAATAAAGATGGCTTAAATATAGAATTACGTTTGAGTAATTGTAGTGGTCCCTGTACCTTTAAGGTAGGATAAAATGTCCGAATCATAGCAATTTTCTCAAGGTATCGTGATGAGCAAGTGTTTCGGCAGGTCCAAGTTCTCCAGTCAAACAGTTCCAGAAATTCGGATTTGGATGTATGTAATTAAATAGCACAATTGTGAGAACGCTACCTTTGTATTGGTTTTAGAATGACTGTTGTGAAACCTAACACATAAAATGGTTTTGATGAGAATCCTTAAAGTAACCTTTTGAAAAGTGAATGCAGTCCTAGTGTCTAAAAGACTTGCATAGTACGGTCAAAATGTTTGTTGAAACCAGCTATTTGGAATAAACACGGTTTTCATTTAAATTGTTGATCACAATTAGATAAAAACAATAATCTCAAATGACCATATCTATTCTTACATATATCCCACCCCATATTTGTTATCTTACAACCAGAAATAGTGAACTGTCGCCAGGAGTGGAACCCACAACACATGTTTGTTGAATTATAACTCATTAGTCTGATGTAGCTGCATTCCGGTTTTGATGTTTGCACTGCCAATCGAAATCATTACATCCCTCTTGAATTACTTAACAAGTTATCCACTGTGCTGTTGAGTCCAGATAGCCACCGACTATTTTAACACATGTTATCTTTTTATAGTTACGATTTTATCCCATGAAACTTACGAGTTCTAGAATGTACGAAGGAAGTATTTTGAATTTTTCTGTTATTCACTATCTATCTATTCCAAAAAACTTGTGTAATAATGGTTATGTCGAGGGAATCCGCACAGGATGCACGTATCTTAACAGATAGTAATCGGAATTCGTTCCTAAATATATATAAAGGCATATTTCAAACCCCTACGAACAATGATGTGTGCTTTTCTATATTTCTCATGATGTCTACTTATCCCTTCTTAGTAGGACAACTGGTTGAGTCTGAACTTCATTCAATGGATTGAGATGATCAATGGGGTTTCGAGATCATCACAATCTGGTTATTAAGAAGGGAAGAGAAACGCTATCTCGCGCAAGAGGCTAGAATCAAAAACTAAATAACAATGCAGCGATTTATGATCAATAGTTCATTACCGGCGACAAACATCTAACATGAAAACTTACAAAACTTACTGACGGTACATAAACTACTGAATATTAACAATAAGTAGTATAACTTAATACATAAAATTGAGCCAATGGCGTGAAAATATTGTTGACAGTTCAAAGCAACTTGAACGTTTTGATTATTTTATAAAGTCATACTTCGGTGAATCGAGGAGTTAGTGGAATTCATATTTCTGTTACACCACCTACTACTGCATAGACAAGTTTCTAAGGATTTTCCATTGTTACTTTGTCGACAATATCAGCTTAGATTCATACAATAATTATTCAGATAGTCGGTTGGTAATTTACGATTTTGGAATTCAAGAAAATATGTCATTATAATTGTTGTTGATGGATAACTGAAGAGAAAATTTGCGGTTCTAGGTTCGGTTAACATCGGTTATATTTTCTGTGTACTGCAGGAAAACCGTTAATATTATAAAAATGTTTTCAAAGCTATGTCAACTCTATGCAAAAGAGAGCAGATTTGGTATGAATGGATATTTCCTAATATTCATCGACCTGTTATTAGGAAAATACTTATTCTCAGAACATTACATCAGAGAGAGCTTTCCTTGCATGGTATATTTCGTAGTGCGGTGTAGAAATATGATGATGATATGCGAGCTTCCCGTTCACAAGGCCAACCAGCTACTTAGTATGAACACCGGGGACGAGATTCAGATTGAGAGAGTGGGTGAGAGGAAAACGATTCGATAGACGACCAAGTCGAGAAGTTGCTGTACACTCACTCACACGTATAAATAATTTATTTCCTCAAAACTTCAGGCCAAATTTTTTGCCGATGATCTATGTCTCTTTCCTTGGTAGTGGAAGCCATATCATGCCAACCACGTGAGTTTCTCAATTGATTGATGTCTGAATGACCTACCATATCACGTTGTATATTGTTTAGGAATTGAAATCTTAACTGATAAAAACGGTGTTAAACATCACAAACCAACTTTTTTAAATTTTTCTTTATCTATGACAATAGAACAGTGAAAAATCTGTTTTGTTGCTATGCGTTTCTTATACGCAACCATTTTATCTAATGAGCATTCCTACTACGTTTAAGTCTTTTCCTCAAACTACGTAAACACCTTGTGTGTAATTTGGCTAGAGCCGGAGTGACTTGTATTTCGTAGATAGTAGATCAAGGCTACAATGATAACAATTTAATGTAAAATCTATATTTTGTGACTTGTTGTAATGAGACGTTACTCATAGGGGATTGTAGAACCATTATCATCCATTTAGCTTCAAAATTAAAGTGATCGGTTATTAGTTTTATGAATTGTAGCTGTAATATATTCATTTCTTTTTGGTCTAGGATCTTACACTAAGTAGCCACATAACTCCTTGTAACTTAAGGCTATTTGTAGATGATGCAAATCCTTGGGATAGAATAAATTCATTTAGTTCATAAAACCTTAATACTCTTTCTCTTTTCAAAACTGAAATATTTTTTATCTATAATGACTGCATTTCCATAGATCCATTGAGTTCAAGTTCAACAGTAAGCATCTTTAGGTTTAGTCATTTGCCAAAATATCACAGAAGTCATTCAGTGCTATCGTTGAGTAATTTTCCAATTAGCTATATGATTGCACATCAGCTGGAAAGTACGTGAAATTAATTGACATCTATGAACTTCATCTTCTTTCCGGTTTTATAATAGACTATTATCCGTGACTAGTTCAAGTTTTATCAAATCATTTACAAAATTTCTATATTGTAAAAGTTGATATCATTTTTCTAGAAAACCATTTATCCCATCCGTTATTACCTGTTATTTCTATGTCGAACCTGATCTTCTGCTTGATGAAACAGTTAATACACTAATTATGTCATTAAATTTCATTTGTTCATTGCATTTTACAACTTCATTTATGTTCATTAATTTACATATTTCTCAGATGAATTACTCTAATCATTTTTTGAAAAATGGGAGGTTTCAATTCAACAATCGAGTGCCATTCTATAACTTATTGTACACATTTCCTTTGTATTTATTTGTAGGTATCATTACCAAGGTTTGACTTGATAATTTCGAATAAATTGAGCATCTTATAGATTCTTATAAATAAATTAATATATTTGTAATACCCCAATGAGTAGAAAAATTAAATTTTCTGACGTTTCGTAACCCAGTATAAGTCACTTCTGAAGAAGTCACTAACAATGAGTCACGAAACGCCTTGTATTTGTTGTTTTGATAGTCTAATCACTGCTTAGATTCGTCATAATTTTCAACCAATTATTGACTTAGTTTGCCAAAGTACCTTCACAGAATTACAGATTGTTTGATGGTGTAAATATTATATATTATCCAGTCGTTAGAACAGAAATTTTTTATGATTATAAATATGATTAACGAGAATGCGAATCATAATTAGAATTTTTATATAATTGTGAATATATTGTATGTTCAGTTTATCATCTAATGATTGGTTACTCTGAAGTTTCAGAAGTAGATTTTATTCTAGAAACATTAAGTATATTATTATAAAGTATCCTATCGATTATACCAGATTTGAAGTACTTGAATGGCATGACTGTTGATTTATGAAATAATATACTTCGTGGTCTATGAACTCTAAGTTTTCTCATTAATAAATGGTACTAGTAAATGATACCGAACTGAATCTAATAATTATGTCGGAAGTATTGTATACAGCGCAAGTTGAATGTAAACGACTATTTACAATATAAAATGAATTAATGTGTAATTACTCTTTTATATCAGAAAACTATTAAACAGACATTATAGTTATGTCGAAAGTAATCAAACAATTGGAGAACATTTTAAATCATTATATGTTTATTATTGTAGACGATATGATACGATATGTATGTAACATAAGTTAGTTTGGTGATAAAAATGTACAAGCATGTTTATAGCAGAGACCACTACAACATTCATGATTATATTGACAATCAACTTCTGGTTCAAAACATTTTACACACGTACCAATTCCACTACTTATTACTTGACAAAGATTTGGTGAACAACATGGATAAAGTGGTTCACACCTTTGGGTTAAATTTGCACAAACTGAATAAACACCTACATTGATAAAATACAATAAACGTTTAAGTAGCAACTATACTATTATGATGAAATACAAAAAAAAGAAACTTTACTGGACATGTTTTCATAGTTTACATTGACAGATAACCTTCTGAATTGAATAGTTTGTAATATTTAAATTAGGCAGAGATCCTGAATATCACAATATCAGAAAGAGATATTATTCACAAATAGGAAAATGTATTATATGTATACTACTCATTGAATTAATGAAACAGTGGAAACTCAACTATGAATATGATGTAATTTGTCTTGCCGACTGAACACTACTTGTTATATCTGGTCGTCTCTGATTGTTATTTAGGAATCGATGATCACTTAAACTCGAAATAAGGGACCTCTACAATTCACACGACGCGAAAGTAAGAACACAAAGACTGGTATAAGTGAAGATTTATTAACCACGAAACACGACGACGACGACCCTAGTCGACTTTCGGAAAAATTTGAGAAGACATGTCAGTGACGACGGGGGAAAAAGAACCAAGAATTATCATTCTGAAAATATATATAACATTGTTTTATCATATTATAACGGGAAATTACTCACATAAATTATGCACATAACTATCTATGATTTACGAGTAGTTTTGACACCATATTACTTGGTAACTGTCAGTTTAACTGGTCAACTGTTCATTTAACCGGATGACTACAAAATGAATCACTGGTAAAGTTTCAAAATAGCTTTTAATAGTTTTTGTGAATTTATTGTTGTGTGAGAATCTTCAGTCAATAAAGTAACACTTGAATACCCTTTTTATAACTGCAAAAATGAAATATTAATTTATTACGTTTTATAAGGTTGTTGTATTATGACATATGGTTTTAAATATATGTAATGCAGTGATGTTAACAACTTTGAACAACGTGTTATTGATGAAATGGAATAATATTCATTTGTTATTTATTCGTGAATTGGTTGAAGTTAGACATTAACATCGTTGGATGCCGGTCGGCTCAGTGGTCTAAAGGTTAAGCGTTTGCGCTCAATACCGATAGGCCCTGGGTTCAAGTCCCGCGAGCGAGATCGTAGATGCGCACTGCTGAGGAGTCGCATACTAGGACGAAAGTGCCATCCAGTGCTTCCAGGTTTTCCATGGTGGTCTAGCTTAAATTGACTAATGAATTCAACTATTAAATTGTTATTTATTAGTCTAGACTTTATGAGCTAGCTTTAACAACACTTTGGAAGTATCGATACCATTCAAAAGACTAGTAAGTTAAGCAATAAATTATATGCATGTATACGAATACAAACGTTTATGTTTCATTCCATAAATGTTAGAAATAATCTACTAAGTGTTATAAATCACCAAGAAAAAACAGCTCTCTTCTCTTTTTAATATATTTTTCATTATCAAACAGCAAAATACTAGTGTGATTTGCTCTTCCTATATGGAAAGATATAAGCAGTGTGTAGTAGGAGTAACTCCGCCCGGAATAGGGAGTGGAATGCTCAACAGCAGAAGAGTGAAATAAAGAGAAGAGGAACGAAACCAGATAGCGATCAATATAACGAAAGGATTGGAAGACTGATGGAATGTGAAGGACTAGTGAAGGAATATATGCAAATTATGTATTAAGTGTATGATTTTCATGTTTTATAAATGTACCGTATTGAGTTTAAGTTCACTGCAGTAGGACCTGTTACAGTTGATGTGATTGTCTGCTTTTACATAGCATACTTTGCAATAAACGAGATTTACCAAACTTGGAAGACTACGGACAGAATGTCAGATGATTTTAGGTAGTCCATAAGATACCCTGAGACAAATCAGCAAGGTACACCTGCCAACTTTATGGAAACGCTGAACTATGTGTTATCGCCCTGCTTTAGAATCCGACCACTGTTAATCATCTAACATCAAAACATAGTATGCGCTATTATCGAGTCACTTAGGTTTGATCGACAGAATTTGATCAACACTAAAAGGCTAGATAAATACAACACTATTTACTACTCAGTTACGAATCAGTGTATCTAATGCTTAGTTCGACTCGTTCATTCAATTCTAAATAAAAATCAACATTCTTAAAATGACAATTTCAACTTGTAAGGTTTGAAATAAACTGAATACCGATTGAATAGAAGATATTATACATAAAAATTATGTTTGAATGCTATCAGTAACTAAAATTTACATGAATTCAGATATTTCACTTGAAAAACATCTTTAAACTTCTTAAACAAAGCAAATATATGTTAGGTCCCGATAAACATAATAAATGGTAACTTGGGGATCCTTTTATGGACAAATACTAAACGTATATTTTTATCGTATAATTGTTAAGTAACTAAACTATTTATATTCATGTTCCTCTTATTATAAGCTTTATTTTGACCTATGAACTACTATTATACGTTTTACCATTCTTGAATTATGCCCTGTCTATTAGTCACTGCTTCACACATTCACAGCCACATTTGGCCAAATTTTGTACAAATGTTATTTTCTATTTTATGCTACGTTGTGGTCTGTTTGATTGGTATATAAACTCGGTATTTTTGAAATATAATGATTCATATCGCAGAGTCTCGGACTGGTGTTCTGGACTTAACTGGCTGGGCTAGGCGGAAATCAGGACCAATCAGGACTCTGGGCTGCTCGTTCGTGTTTTACACGTCCTTGGTCTGATCGATAATTCACTGCCCCTTAATCGGCGGTCACAAGTTATAACAATATAGATGGCGTCTAGCACTGAAATTTGAGACGCGCGTTTCATCCTATTTGAGACTTGTCAGTTGAATTCCCTATCCATCTTTGTTTATAATCCCTATGACTTAAAACAGTATCAAGGCAATCCACAAATGATGTACATATATCCCAATAAAAGATTGATCAATTTCAGTTTCAAACATTCATGAGAAGATTCAAATAAACAACACACGAATGAATACTTAAAGTTTTTTCAAAAGTATCTATTTATTATACAAAAGATAACTTACTAACTTACTTGGTATTCCATTGGTTTGTTTAATACTCACTATGGTTAATAGAATAAAAAGAACTAGAGATAAATGATGATGCATATTTCAATAGTTGATTTAAAGTAATAAAAAAAGACCGAATCCTAATCTTTATCTTATACAAAAACACTCATAAAGTATAATGTTTTATAGTAACTTATAACTGAAAATAACAAAGTTTATTTTCATAGAACAATAATAACAATTAAAACAATTCACATAATTCAAAACATAAAAGAACAGGTTGTTTAAAGTACATTTTAGTTGAAATTAACTTAAAACTATCAATCGTATTACACAACTAGGATTTTTATAAGCAAAGATGGATAATAGCTAGCAGTGGAATCCAAGACGCGTATTTCGTCCTATTGGGGACTCGTCAGCTGGATGTACCTGCATTTCAGGTACACAAGCACAAGCAAGTGGCTATTAGGACTCAATAGCTAAGTGGATAATTCGATAGCGTTTGAAGTAAATGGTAATGGGTTTGAGTTCAAGAGTGAACATCAACTCCAAGATGTAGTTCCTAGAATAGGACGAAACATGCATCAAACTGGATTCCACTGCTAACCACTATCTATCAATGCTTATAATGCTTTTGAATTAAGGCTACTTCGAGGCAATACTCACAGTATGTACATATTGCCAATAACAGACTGATCAATTGCAGTCCTAAAAGCATCAATGGGAAGATTCAAGTAGATAATACCAATTGAATCTAGAATTTTCATATGTCTTCTGTTCTTTTTTTTCCAATATTCATATCATTCCTAAATCATAATTATTAAAATCCAAATGAAATTACATAATTAGACAAATTATTTAACTTAATATGAAAGTATATTAACCATAAACCATTTTATTAAAGCTCAATAACCATTAATACTAAAATTTGGGAAGTAAATTTTGTTACACTGTTGTGGATAGTTTAGTTTACTTGACATTGGATATAGTAGGCATAGATATTAGATGGTTAAAGGTTGTCGTAATAATACGAAACTATTTAGCAACCAAAACTATTTCACTGAGATTATGACAGCCACTAGAAGCCAAGAAACATTAGACAAATATTTTGTTCTAGTATGAGACACCTTAATAATAGTGAGAATGTACAGCACTAGTGGAGGTCAAAATCCAGAACTTTAAGATACTCTACACAACCCTCATACTAAAAAGATTAGAATTCAACTGTACTGACAGCCTAGAGCGATCAGAAGAGGGACCGAGTGATCGATGAAAAAGATGCTAGTTCATCTGAGTACAGATCTTCCAAGTGAATAGTATTTTGCTAAAATACAATAGTTACAACGTATATAGAATTTTATTGTTACGGTCAGTCCCTAACATTCTAGTCTTAATACATTAGCTATTAGAATGCAAGTTGAGCAAAGGATTAAGATACTAAAACGTTTATTCAGAATCTGTTGATATTTTAGCTTTAATCTTGTAAAAAATAACGCCTTATTTCCGATAAACCTTTTTTCATAACATATAATGCTTCGTAAAACAGCCTATTCTCTGATTACTGTATCTTCTCTGTACGTTATCTACCCTTCCGTCCCCCGTAGTTATATCGAATGCTGTTTCGCAATAGTTCAAGGTTCCGTAAATGATCAGCGGTTATGTTATCATCCAAACAATTCAAAATATGGAATTTATTCAAACACATGTTGTCCAATATCAGATTATCTGTTATTTCGTTATAAAATTTACACTTCATTTCAACAATCCTTATCTTTATTCTGACTCATGGTTTTTATTCGTTTCAAGGTGGTCAATTTGAGATTAATCCTACCTTGAAAACTATCTCAGTTTACTTCATGCCTTTTACTTCTCAAATTTAACAAACTTACTACCATTTTTATGAATGACTTACGCATGTTACTCCACGTGGAGGAACCTAGACCAGCCTAGACAATTCTTTGAAATTCTTTCCAGTTGCTATTCATTCCTTTCATATCTTCTTCCAATTCCTGACACAATATGTACCTTGGTCCCCCTCTTTTCATTTTCCATTCAAGATTCCAAGTTAGTACTTGCATCGTGATGCAGTTAAGTGATTTCCTCAATGTATGTCATATCCACTTCCAACGTCTTTTCCTAATTTCATCTTCAGTTGGAAACTCGTTTCTTCCCTCTCACAATAAACTGTTACTGATGTAACCCAGTAGACGGACATTGAGTATCTTGCGTAGATAATTGTTTATAAATACTTGTAACTTGTGATGTTATTTGTAGTAGTTCTCGGAATTTCAGTTCCATACAGTAGAATTTTCCTGACATTCGTATTAAAGATTGTGACTTTCATGTTGACTGATAGTTGTTCTAATTTCTATTTGTTCTTCAATTGTAGGAACACTGTGCTGCCTTTTCAGTCCTTGTATTTAGGTCTTTATCAGATTGCCCTTGTTTATCGATTATGCTGCCCAGTTATCTAGAACTCTTCACCTATTTCAGAGATTCTCCATCAAGTGTGATTGGATTGGTGTTATCCATATTGTATTTAAGACTCTTTCTTTATCCCTTATGTATGTTGAAGCCTACTGATGCACAGGCTGCTGCTACATTAGTTATCCTCATCAGGATTTGTTTGTGTGCATGGTACAGTAGAGCTCACTCATCTGAGAATTTCGAATCGTTGAACTGTTCATTGTATTCCAATAAATCAAGAGTTTAATTTCACCTTTTCTGATAACATTTCAACAACTCTGATATTATCATTATTAGAATTGTTATAAATACATTAATGTTTCATTAAATATTTACTTTAGATCCGTTGCCCAGACACTATCAGCAACAACCTACTGTGGGAGAGAACAAACAAGATCCCAGTGGATGAAGAAATCAGGAAGAAGCACTAGAAGTGGATAGGAGATACATTGAGAAGAGCACCCAACTGCGTTACAAGGCAAACCCTTACTTGGAATCCTCAAGGCGAAAAGCGAAGAGAAAAGAACAAAGAACACATTACGCTGAAAAATGGAGACAGACATGATAAACGTAAACAACAACTGGGTACAACTAGAAATGAAGGCCTAAGACAAATTGGGTTGGAGAATGCTTATTGGCGGACTATGCTCCATTGGGGCTAACAGGGGTTACTATGTAAGTAAGTAATCACTAAATTTTAACATTTAAATTATAACAATCATACTATTATTATAATCAGTTTTGTTTAACCAATAATTAGGAAAAAATTAATTATAGATATGATTATAATGTACAATATTGTATATGATTTATCTTCATTCCTCATTGGAAATTCTATTTCACAAATTCATACGTCATTGAGTTATATCTTCATGATATAACTATACATATATATATATATGATAGGATTGAGGATATGACTTAAGATTTTCGCATAATAACTCAATTGCACACCTCATCAACAACACAAAACTATTGAAGTACAATTACATGAAATACAAAAAAATGTTGTTGTTTTTTCAACAACAAAAAAAACTGCATTCTTTTTGTAGTTATTTATAAAAATAAATAATTTTCATCGATCAATGGTTAACTTCAGAATATTCATGATTGAATGTTTATTATGAATCCAAGCAATTAACTTTTTTTTGTATACGAATAATCTTAATTTTTTCTACATTTTTCTTATTTTACATACTGTCACATGTTACCATACACTTGCGTTTTGTGTGTGTGTTTTTTTTCATAACAAATAGATTCTAGATCAACTGTCTATATCTGCTGAGGAGTCCCACACTGGGACGAAACGGCTATCCAGTGTTTCCAGGTTTTCCATGGTGGTCTAACTTCTATTGACTAATGATTTCAACCTGTGAAATTTCTAAAAATCTCTACAAAACCCATTCTGATATATCTAATTCCGGTTGTAAATGTTACATTATCAACGTATGATGTAACTGGACAATTAAAAAAGAAGAGATAAATGTATATTAATGTAGGGGAATTGTTGAGATTATTACGTTTTTATTAGTTAACTTGATAAATTCATCTTAGACAATCAGATGATACTAGACAGTTATTTCATTCTAGTATGAGACTTTTACAAAGTGGGCTCTCTCTCAAGAGAGAGAGAGTTTTAATGAGAAAATGTGACCAATAGAGTTCAACTATAATAGTGAATATTTGTAACTCAATATAAGGATCATGGAGATGTTATGTTTTTGGTTGAGATCATGAGTCAATTGATGTTAGACCACCGTTGGAAACCTGGAAACACTGGACAGCCGTTTCGTCCTAGTATGGGACTCCTCAGCAGTGCGCATCCACGATCTAGCACCCCGCGGGATTCGAACCCAGGACCTACTGGCTTCGCGCCTGAGCATTTAGTGAGGGATTCTCGGAGTTCTAGTGAGAAGTCGTGACCAGTGGAGCTAATCCGTGTCGGGTAGAGACAGGTATCTACCTTAGTACAATGGAAGTTGGTCGCGAAATTTCGTGGATTGGTTGATGTTAGACACTAATACCATTGGATGCCGGCTCAGTGGTCTAATGGTTAAGTGCTCAGGTGTGAAGCCAGTTGGTCCTGGGTTCGAATCCCGCGGGCTGCGGGATCGTGGATGCGCACTGCTGAGGAGTCCCATACTAGGACGAAACGGCTGTCCAGTGTTTCCAGGTTTCCAACGGTGGTCTAACATCAATTGACTCATGATCTCAACCAAAAACTTAACAATCTCCACAACCCCCATACTGATAGATGTTATTTTCTTTGATCTTAATAGTTTAGTTGTGAAGCCCCAATTTTCATTCTGGATGACATCATCAGCACGTGATTCCACCATGTCTATATCGTAATATTTACCAACCGATACCATTGAAAGATGGTTGTGTAATATCAAGGACTAACTGAGCTAAACTATTATATCCCGATGAGAATAATTAATGATAACTGTTGGAATCTATTTCTGGACTATTACTATACGTATTTTCATGATACCTTCTATACGAACATTTGTGAACTCATCGAAATGGTCGTAAAACGTGAAAAATGTCCTAAAAATAAGCAACATTTTATACCAGTAATAATAATAATATGAACACTATCTATTTCGATGAGAATAAGGAATGGTAACTGTGGAATCTGTTTGTGGACAAATACGATACATATATTTTTATTGTATAATTGTTAAGTAATTAAACTATTCATATTCGTTTCCCTCTTATTATGAGCTTTATTTTGACCTATGAACT